CAGTTCACTCCTCTCTTTCAAAAGTAAAAGAAACACTCCCTCCCTGGGACACAATTCTCCCACACTTTTGTTTTTATAATGTTCTCTTAAAGTGGCAGGACTGTAATAAGTACCTCAGTTGCCACATTTTGTTGTTAACAGTTAATGCACTCTGAATTGGAATGGAAAGAATGTAAAATTTAGAGTCAAATCACAACCTCAGTGTTTGCTGGCTATGGGAGTTGGATATTTTCACTATACAATTTCTTGTTTGAGTTTAAGGAATTAGAAAATAGAAGTTAATTGAAATTTTGCTGAACATTCCCTTTATAAACATGCTATGAGAATGAGGAGAGCTCTGGAGACCTCATGGTAAAGAGTTGTATTGCCAATCCAAAGGCACATGGTTTAAATCTACCAATTGCTCAATGGGAGAAAGAAGAGCAATCTTCTCCCATGGAATTTAGTTTATGAAAACCCACTGGAGGGCCAGCTACGAATCAGTACCAACTACATGGCACATAACAATGTGAGAATAAAACAAGTGTGGATATGAAAGTTTTATAAGTGACAAATACTGAGTATATTGACCTTTTATTTTCCTTTATAGCTTACTACTTATACTAATTTATATGACTCTTGTTGACAGAATCGGATTTATCTATGCATACATTAATCTTTGTACCTAGCATACCGCCTGGTGTGTAGTAATTGTTCAGCCAATGCCTGCTTATAGAGGAAATAAATAATTTACCCAGGGAGCTCTGGCGCCTAGTGGCAAGACGCTGCTCTGCAGTCCCCCAAGGCGTTTGGACCTAATTCACCAGCAGGAGAAGGATGGGCAATCTCCTATCGTGCAATTAACTGCCTCTGAAAATCCACTGTTCCAACTCAACAGTACACAACGCAACAACAACTATCAAATAAGAATATATTTACTTTTTCTCTTTTGGGGCTATAGGAACCTCAAGAAAAGGGAAGCAAATACTCCAGCTCAGCTTCTGTCCTTTTCCAAACTCCCTGAACCGACTAGCCGAGCCATTTCCCATGCAGCTGAGGTAATGGAAACTTCCATACAAGCCCTGAAAAGAAAGGTTGTCTTGGAGCAGAAACAATCACAGCATCCAACTGGTAAGTATACTTCCTCCTCTTATAGTGCCCCAAAGTGATAGTCCAATTTTTCAGAGAAAACAGACCACCTTCAACAATATGTTAACACTGTTCAGAAGCAAAGGAAGGGACGTGCATAGGTTTAATGCTAAGTGTGTGATTTTTATTCACTTACAAAACAAAAGCAGTGCTTCTGTAAAAATGCTTCAAAAGTAGACGCACTATTATCTCTAACAGAACTATTCCTCTGTTACTCAATTCCAATTTGGAAAGCTAGCCCAAGAAGCTAAATCTCCTATATTTTATGATATGAAATAAACTGGGAGTTTTTTCATGGCTGGCCTGCCTAATTAAAATTTGAGGAGCTCATTGATATATGTTCTTTCATGAAGCAAATTTATGTGGTATAAAGCACATTATAATGAGAAAACTAGAAACATCTTAGTCTTCACACTTCCTCACTATTGCTTCAATGCCTCTGAGAATGAAGGCCTTCAAGGATTCATTTCCTTATCTCTAAAAAGGAAATGATAACACTAGTCCTGCTCACTCAGACAGCGATTGACAGACCAAAACAAAAAAAAAAAAAAATTGAAGAGCAAGCCAGTTAAATCTAAAATGCTATTACATTTACAATGATTGTTATACTGAGATATACTTGGAACTTCTGTGATATAAAGAAAGTGAGTTTTCTTTATTTAATTGAGCTTTCAGTTTGTTCAGTGCTATGCCAACAGCAACTTGGTTTCTCAGTTCTTTCACCTAATTAGCTAAATTAACTTATTATTGATTACCTCAGCCTTTAGAATCAGACAGACAGAGCTAAACAAGGATTAATCAGAATTTTCAGATACAAGGGCACTTAAGTTTAATTGATTTTCTGGTAACCTAAGATTCACTGGAAACGGATTTTGTTTTAGACAATGTGGTTAAAAATGTTTCTATGAACTGCTGATCTGCTTTCTTACCACATTATAAACTATATAGGTATCTAGGTAGAGATATTGAGATAGAGATAGATATATATGAATTACCTCTGGTATTAGAAGCGATAATTAGTTGGTCTTATTAATAATCTAGAATCTCTACTCTTAAAGCCCAGGTCAATGAATTGTTTATGCAATTATCAAGTTTAAACTAATGTGTTTTGGTCTGTGTCACAATGTAAAATTTAACTCAACTCATTGTTGTCAAGTCAGAACTGAATTAGAGTTGACCCTCCCGCCATTTATCTGGAGGTTGAATCTCACGGGAAGAAATTGCCCATCTTTCTCCCATGAGCCCTTGGTGATTGTGATCTGTTTGAGAAGTGCCACCTTTGTGTTAAGCTGTACAACTCCCTATAGACCATGACCTCAGCAAGTGCTTCCTAATGTAGAAATTAAGAAACCTAAAATCTCAAGGTTTTGTTTTTTTGGGTTTTTTTTGTTTGTTTGTTTTTTTATTTCTAGTATACACATAGGGACTCTTGTGAATTTACTGGTAAGGAGTGGTCCTGTCTGTCAGCCCAAAGGCAAGAAAAGGCAACCCAAAGGCTGGAATCTACCAGTGTTCCCCAGGAGAGAGATGAGCAGTCTCTTCCCTTGCAATTTACTGCCTCTGAAAACCCACCCAAAGGTCATCTATGAGTTGGTTATGACTGGAGGGTACACAACAACAACACTATAAACATAGCTTATATGGAAATGTGAAATATTAAGACGGGAAAACAAATTGATATGAAACCCTGCCACTTCCTTAAATCTGTTACCATTGAGTTTGTCTTAGTTGATAGCAACCTGACAGAACAGAGTACAACTGTCCCATGAAATTGCTCAGGTTATAATCTTTATAAAAGTAGATTGCCATAGCTTTCTCCTGTAGTGGGTCAAACCATTGTCTTTAGCTTCACCATTGTGCCACCAGGGCTGTTCATTATTTCACTATTATAATTAATGACAATGAAATGTGTTTCCTTCCAGCTGTTGCTTTTCATTGGTTTAGCATGATTATTAAATTAACCAATAGTAGTAATATTACTATATTACTATTCTTGAGCATTTTTATGTTATAAAGTATTTTCAAGTTTGATAGTCATACAATAATAAAAAGTTTGATAGTCACCTGACAGCAGAATGTGAATTATGGTCAAAAGTTTATGTAACCACTTTTCTAAAATTCATCTAACTTAGATTATTTAGTGAACATTAGTTATGTAATGTCTTGTTTTCTGTCTCCAATTTCAAGGTAGATCAAATGTGTATCTTTTCAGAATTTGGTTCTTCTCTTTTTAAGTCCTAATAAATATCTCAGTTTCTTTGGAACTGGATAATCAAAGCCCAAAAGTTATATTTTGAGATTTATAGAAACCATTGTGGAGAAATAATTGGTCAACAAAGCAAGCCTTGCTCTGACTTCTTGAATAATATATAAATAACAACAGAATAGGCAAGAAACTGCTTTGCGGGACACTAATCTGAGAAGATTTACAATAAAGGAAATAAAAAATCAATATGATGAAGAATAGAGTGTTTTAGATTGATTCATCAATGCTTTTAGCAAACTTAGCCAAAGGAGTTTTCTAGGGGGATAAATACTATGTATTCCTTTTCTGCTGAAGCCTTGGAGCAATTGCTAGGTACAAACGCTTCAGTAGTACAATGGTTACAATGGAGACTCCAGGTCAGCTGATTAGCATAGTAGATGTGGCAAATGAGATTCTGAAAAGTAAATTGCTTGCTTATCTCTCCAGGAGTTCAGAATTCTTCCATTTGTTTTACTGAAAGGTCAAAAAATAAGACATATTAACCAAAAATAAGAAAGTAAGGAAATTGAATGAGAAAACAAAAATTGTAAAAGAAGATTTTCTTCCTTAAAAAAAAAGATTTTGATTTCATGTGTGAGCAATAACGTAGTGAATATATTTTACAAATTTCATAATCTCTATTATGTATTTCACACTTCTTTATGTATTCTATAGTTCTCAAACTTAATTACAAAGACAGGTATCATATAAATGATGATTAATAATTCAGACATGTGGTTATGTGCTGCCGGGATGATTCACAGTAAATTTCATGTGGACCCTTGATGTGCTATGATAGAGGAATCAGTTCTGCTTACTCAATTGTTATTAAGTAAAAAGTTACTATTAAGTGTATTAATTTACTTTACTTCAAATTCATATTACCGGGACATTTTTTTTAAACCAACAGCAAATTTACCTTAGTAGGTAGATTGGTGTTTAAAAATAGAATGTTTCTGAATTTTTTCATTTTTCTCTCAGATATTTTATCAGAAGATCTTCTGAACACCATTGCAAACATGTCAGGATGCCTGCCTTATATGTTACCACCAAAATGTCCAAATACTTGTCTGGCAAACAAATATAGACTTATCACAGGAGCTTGCAACAACAGGTATTGTGTGCATATTTTCTTAATTTTGTCATGTAAGTTTGGCTTTAGCACAATTAGATACCCATCCTGACTGAGATCCTGTGTAAAATTTGTGTTATCTGTACCGTTCATATATGCTTGAGATCCTGATAGCTACTTATTATTTTCATGTGGATACTTAGCAGATAGCTGAAACACAAATTGCAAAACAGAAAGGAACATAAAGACCCAGCAACAATACCGTCTTTCCAAATAAAGTATTTAAAAATCATCCTTATTTTTTTAAACACAGAAACTTGCGATGATCCTCACCTGATTGCTCAATACAGAAACTAAAGACTTAAAGTTTATTCCTCTAAATCCTTTATCCACAGTACATCAAGTCTCATATTTCTAGCTCTAAAATGAGTTCTAAAAATCTCCACTTCTCCCTTCACTTTCTTCCTGTCACTAACCTCAATTGAAATAAAATTAGACAACTTGGCTTCAAATTAAACTATTCCTTTCTCCATATTATAGCCAAAGTAATTGAATTCCTTTTTCTGTTATAGATATTTCACTTATTGTTGCTAGTTCCTGTCACATGGATTCTAATTAATGACAATCTTAAACATTACAGAGTAGAACTACACCACAGGGTTTTTTGGTTTGTTCTGTGTGTGTAAGTTATGTGTATTTTTAAATGGTTTTTAAAAATTATGTGTTATAATCTTTCATTTATATTATATTATGTTCCATATACTGAACTTTTTTTATATTGTCTTATGAAATTAATCACCATTGAGCCATGCTCACTACTACCCCGTCTTTTCAGATTACTCCTAGATCTTTCCTAATTCTTTCACCCTCTTCCTCCACACACCAAACTCTGTCATTCTCCAGTTATTTTCTCAGCCCCACTCCCACACCCTCAGACCGCTACCCCTTCTTCATTCATATTTGGATTTTTATACACATCTTACTAATTATTATTCTGTTTTTACAATGACAGTTTTATGCAACACTTATCCTTAGGAGACTAAGTTACTTCATTCAGCTTAGTCCTTTCTAGCCTTTCCTGTGTTTTTTCTTTTCCAAAATGCATAGTATTCCATCATGAGAATTCACTACAATTTTTCAATCCATTCATTTGCTGATGGACATTTGTACTGTTCCCATGTTCTTGCTATTGTGAATAAGGCTGTTATGAGTTCTATTTTCTTGGGGGTACACTCTTACCAGTGGAACAGCTGAATCATATGGAAATTCTTTGCTCAGCTTTTTGAGGAAACACCAAATTGCCTTTCATAATGATTGTACCATTTTACAATACCACCAACAGTGTATGAAAGTATCAATGCATCCAAATCCTTTCCAACATTTATTGCTTTCTGTCCTGTTAAACTTTGCTATTGTCATGAAATAATATCTCATTATGGTTTTGATTTGCACCTCTCTCATTTTGTTTATATTATCTTAATTTCTTTTTTTCCTTATATTTTTCTTTAAATTTTATACTACAAAGTTTATAGACATTGGTTTTCCTACTGGATCTTTCCCATTTCTTTAACTCACTCCTCCCTCCACCCATTAAATTGTGTGACCCTATCCTCACACATCCCTCATCCTCATCTCTCTGCTTCCACCTTCCTGCCCTTAAATCCTCACTTTTTACTAGTTATCTATTTCTACAATAATGTTCTTATATAGTATTTATCCTTATGTATTCATGTATTTATATGTATAGGTATAGGTATAGGTATATGTATAGGTATATGTATAGGTATATGTATAGATATCACACACTACTCATTCCAATTACAGGGCCTCGAAAGAGTCCTGTATTGTTATTTTTCGTCACTGCCTCCCGGGGTCGGGAGTGGGTAATTTGCGCGCCTGCTGCCTTCCTTGGATGTGGTAGCCGTTTCTCAGGCTCCCTCTCCGGAATCGAACCCTGATTCCCCGTCACACGTGGTCACCATGGTAGGCACGGCGACTACCATCGAAAGTTGATAGGGCAGACGTTCGAATGGGTCGTCGCCGCCACGGGGGGCGTGCGATCGGCCTACCGCGGCTGCTGGCACCAGACTTGCCCTCCAATGGATCCTCGCGAAAGGATTTAAAGTGGACTCATTCCAATTACAGGGCCTCGAAAGAGTCCTGTATTGTTGTATAGGTATAGGTATAGGTATAGGTATAGGTATATTATTTCTATTTCTATTTATTTCTATATTTCTATTTCTATTATTTATGTTTATGTTTCTATTTCTTTATTATTTATCCTTAAAGTATTTATGGGACTAAGCTAGTTCACTTAATATAATGCTCTCTAGTCCCTCCCAAGTTAGGTAATGATTTACAAACTCATTACTCCTGCATGCTATTTAGCTATTCCATCACATGAATGTACCATAATTTCTCAATCCATATGATTGTGGTTGGACATTTGGACTATTTCCACGTTCTTGTGATGGTGAATAATGCAATTATGAGCATTGGTGTACAAGTTTCCTATCTAAAGTTTATAGAATACAATAAGGCTTCCATAAGTAAAAAGACTGATAATCCAATTACAATTTGGGCAACATATATGGAAAGAATTTTCACAGAGGAAGATATTCAGATGGCCAACAGACACATGAAGAAATGCTCAAATCACTGGCAATAAGAGAGATGCAAATAAAAACAACAATAAGATACCATCTCACTCCAAAAGCAATGGCAAAATGTAACAGGACAGCAAGTAATAAATGGTGGAGAGGATATGGAGAGACAGGAATTCTTAAACATTGCTGGTGGGATTATAAAATGGTACAACCACACTGGAAGGCAGCTTGGCATTTCCTCAGAAAGTTGAACATAGAAATTCCATATAACCCAGTTATTCCACTGCTTGGACTATATCTCAAGAAAATAAGAACTGAGGTACAAATGGAGACTTGTGTTCATAGCAACATCATCGCAAGAACATGGAAACAGCCCAACCAAAATTAATTAGAGAAATTCTGGTATATTCACATGATGAAATACTACACAGCATGCAGGATTTTGTAAATCACAACCTAACTGACTGGATTTTTTACATTCTCTAGTGATATGGTCCATGGGGTGTTGCACTACTAACCCAAATGTGACATCTTGCTAATGGTTCAAATCCACTAGTTGCTCCAAGGGGAGAAAGATGGACAGTTTCCTCCCTTGTTATTTACTGTCTTAGAAAATTGCCTGAATAGTCAGTTATTAGTCAATCCCAACTTGATGGCAATGATGTTTTGAATTTGCTGTCTAGTTTATTGTTGTTGTTGTCATGTACCATCGAGTCTCTTGTGACTCATAGTGACCCTATGTACAACAGCCCTAAACTCTGCTCTGTTCTCTGTCTCTGATACCCCCATCCCAATTATCCTAGTCACTGAATAAATCCATCTCATAGAGGGCTTTCCCCTCCTTTGCCTGCATTGGACAATAACTAAGGAGGATAGAAGGAGAATTGATGCCTTTGAGCTGTGGTGCTGGAGTATTGAGGGTACCATGGACTGCTAAGAAAACAAACAGATTCATCCTGGAGAGGCTTAAAGCGGGCTGCTCCTTGGAGAGAAGGATTCTGAGGCTTCATCTAACATACTTTGGTCATGTTGTAAGGAGTGGCCAGTCCTTGGAGAGGGACATCATGCTTGGGAGGGTGGAGGGGTCTAGTTTAGGTTATATTTTTATTGCACATAGTGTTTTGCTAACTTAACCACTTATTTCTATGGATTAACAAAAAGATTGAGCTCTGGTGGCCTAATGCTAAGAAACTGTGTTGCAATCCTAAAGACAAAGGATTCAAATCCAACTGTTTTCTCCAAAGGTCATGAAAATATTCTCGTATGTTTTTCTGTGAAGGTTTCCTTGTTTCATCTGTGGCATTGAGATTTAAAGTAATTTCATTTTACTTTTCATGTCATATAGCCCTAAGATAGATATGCATATATTATTCAACTGACCTGAAAACAATGATTGATAAAAACCATACTTTAGCCTCCTATTCAGTAGTAAGGTATTTATAGACTTATACAATAACTGCATTTAAAATATATATATTGATTTATAAGTGGCTTGTCAGTTAAATCTTTAATCTGCAAACCAACAATTGGCTGTTTAAACTCACCTAGCAGCTCCATGGAAAAGAAGTCTGTCATTCTGCTTCCATAAGGTGACAGTTTATGGAGACCATATGAAGCAGTTCCACCCTGTTCTAACCATGTTGCTATGAGTCAAAATTAATTTAAAGACAACTAAAAAGAACAACTGATGGCAGAAAAAATATATATGTATTAACATACACACATGCAATGAATTGTATCAGTATCTAATAAACTAGATGAAAAAAGAGCAGGAATCTATAAAAATCAAAACATCTTGATTGTTAAGGATAAAGCTATATTGTGGAACACATCTTAAAGGACTGCTATTCTTTTTCACAAGCATAAACTTGAGATTGTGCATGGAAAAACTGGTGTCTATATATCTGAAAGTGACTTCAATATTTAGAATTTTCATGGTGAACTTTCCACACATCAATGAAAACTAGGATAAGTTCTAACAAGAAAAGTGGTATTAGTCATGTCAGATCCCCCCATCTTTCAGTGCAAACTAGCCATGCCTCCATCTGTTGTAAGAAGCCACTGATCTGGATAATGATAACTGCTTCTACCATGATAATTTCTAAAAGTTTGCTGTTGTTAGGTGGCATTAAGTAGAGTATGACTCATAGTGATCCTTTGAACAATAGATCTGATCGCCGTCCTGTCCAGTGCCATCTTCATCATCTCTGACATGCTTGAGCCACTTACTGCTGCAGTCACTGTGTCAATCCACCTGGCTGAGGGTCTTCCTCACTTTTGCTGACCCTCCACATTCCCAAGAACGATGTCTCCAAGAAATAGCCTCTCCTAGCAATATTCCGGAAGTATGTGAGATGAAGCTTTGTCATTTTCACTCCAAGAAGCATTCTAGCCATACTTTCTCTAAGACTTATCTGTTTTTTCTCTTTTTAATTC